TATTGTTAAAAAAATATCATTTTAGATTTTAATTTAATTTAATATTTATTATTTACAGTATATACTGTATATATTTAAAACATTTATAGATAATATTTTCTAAATATTTATTATCAATTATAATTATAACACATTTTCTAAAAATATATTGGAAATCAAAATCATTAGAATTAAACAAAAATAAATTTGCATTAAAAAGTTGTTAATATTTAAAGATATTTATATTTAACTTATGATAAAAATATTATTCAATATAATTATTATTAATTAAATATTTATATTTTTATATTGCAAACTAAGCATAATTTTAGTAGATAATAGTAATAAATTTAATTAAAATTAATCAAATAAGATATAATAATCTTTGAAAATGTTTGAAAATTTTACATTATTGCCTATTAATCTTAAATATAAATATAAGCAAATGTAATTTCATATAATTTTATAAAAATAAATAAAGTTTATAAATTTACTATTTGTTTGTGATTAATAAATAAGTAATTAATTATTAGAAGTTGTTTAACATTTTAAAAATAATTAATTTTGTAATTTTTATTTTTAAAAAAAAAATAGTTGATTTTGCAAACTAATTTTATATTTATTTAAAAAATTTTAAAAAACATTAATAATTATAAATAATAAAAAATATGCTTGAACAAACAGTATTGTGGAATAGTAGATTCAAACAATTGGCACTAATAACATGGACTATTACATGGATAATATTGTTTGCCAGTCTAATTGCATACTTGATAGCTGTTAGCAAGGTAAGTTTATTATTACAATCATTAAGTATCAGCTAACCAACAAAAAAAATTAAATTAAAAAATAAATAAAATTAATTTAATCATATTTTTTTGTTAACTTAGGGTAACCCACTCTTCCTATTTGTTTTGATTAGTGTACTCTTAATGACTGAGCTGATAGGTTTGATTGCTGGTTGGAAACGACACTATGGACTGGCACTGACCTATACTATTGCCAAATTTATACTAACACTGTTGGCCACAATTATGGCCGTACCGATAGGTATAGTCTTGGTTCCCGATCTGGCAACGACTGTATTACAACAATGTTTTATCAGTTCAATTGTCGGCTTTATTTACAGCTGTGAATTGGCACCGCTGTCCACCAATTATGTTGAACAAAAAATAATTGAACTTGATAATATTAATGTAATTTAAATATAATATATATATATATATGTTTTAAATGCTTATAATATAATTTTAGATTTTTACTATATAAACATTTTTGTGTGTGTGTATAATTGAAAAAATGTTTTTAAAAAAATTTATTATAATCATAATATTTATTCTGTGTAATAATAACTTAAATATATTATCAAAATTTATTTACATAAAAAAATTTAGATAAAAAATATATAATAAATAAAATTTCATAATTTTTTTTGATTTTTTTTTGTAGCTAATGAAATAGAAATAGATTTTTTTATTATTATTTTTAATAATGTTTAACATTTTATGAGTAGAATATTAGTCATTAAATTATTATTATACTAATTTAGTAATCATATTATAATAAAATTAATTATTATTAAACAGATATTATTATATTTGAGCAAAACATTTATAAACAAAATTATGATAATAAAAAATTTTAGTGTTTTTTGAATAATTATTGATTAAAAATATTATTAATGTATTCAATGATCAAATATTTACAATTATTAGACTCATAATAATAAATAAAATAATTATACTAATCACTATTTATATTGATTTTTTATAATTATGATATAATAATAATTAACAATCAATAAAACTTAACATAATAAACATATTATCCAATAAAAATATTATTTATATAAAAATCATTATTTTTAAARGTCAACCTTATAAAATATTTTTTTGTATTTATTGGATTGTATATAAAAAAATGTATAATAAAAATATTATTTAAGTTATGGTTATTTAGATATCAATAAAAATTTAGTATTATTGTGTTTATTAAAATTTTATTGTTCAAAAATATTATATTTATATATTGTATATTTCAATAAAAATTATATATTTTTATTGAAAAAATGTCTGAAATAAAATGCTCTGAATTATTGCCGATTGACTTACGTGTTGTTGCGGCCAATAGTCATCTTTATCGGTGCGGACTTCAGATCAGAGCACCGGAAAATATATTAACAGACAAACCTATATTAAGTTATACTAAAAATTTAAAAATACTAACACTGAGTATAATAATAATTACAATTAACATTATAAATAATGGTCAAAATCAACAATTATCATTGGTACTTGGTGATTATTCAAACTACCTGGGCGATGGTAGCCAAACATTTCGATTGGTAGCCCTATTGTTTTATATTCAATCGTTGTTCAATCTATTGGTATATTACTATAATCATTGGTCAGGTATTGAGCCGACATTTATGCAGGTATTTGATATGATGTCTGGTTGTCGTACACCCAGTAGTATTGGACTCAATGACAGTCAATCATTAATTAAATATCTAAAACTATCAAAATTGTTGTTTCGTTTATCAAATATATATTTCAATAGTTCATCATTATTTGGATTAATTACATTAATAACATATCTAACTAATTTGCCCCTGGTCACTGCGCTAACCTATAGTATATATAATACACTGTTTTTATGTTTAGCCGCATATATATCAATAATACTAATATTCTGTCCAATGATTTATTTTTATTTGTTATGTTTGTATATAAAATTACGACTAAAATCATTAAACAAAACACTACTGAATAGAAAACATCGATTAGATTTTAAAAATTTATTTTATATATTTAAAACATTGAACAAACTTTGCAATGATATCAATGATTATAACACTACTTATTGGTCTAAACTATTGGCTTTAATTTGGCTTATATTTGGAACAATAGTTTGTTTGAATATATTTAACATATTTTTTGTTCAGAAAAATTTATTCATACAAATATTTTTATTGTATTTTATGATAATTATGTCAATTTTATTTTTAATTATTATACTGACCGCATCATCAATAACTAATTTATTATATAAATTTTCAAATACATTATTATCATTTACAGTTAACATTTAGGGCTTTTTTCTGATTATAAATTGTAGAAATAAAAAAAATGTTATAATTTTTTTAATAATATGACTTTTCGTTTTGTTTTTTTAGTTTAACTAATATATTTCTATATTAATTTTAACAAATATTGTAAATATAAGGATAGTTATAAAGTTACTACAGTTTATATTTTTCAATTTTTTTAAATTAAAAAATTTAATTTTACTATTGTTAAATAATTATAAATTCAGATTTWTATATATTGAGAAATAATATAATATTTAAYAAAAATAAAACTTATTTTAATTTATTTAATGATTATTTACGACATTAAGAATTATAATTATTATGATATAAAAATAATTAAGTATCTATAAAATTCATAATAATAAAGTAATTATTAAGTAAAAAAATATTATTTTTAGAAAAACGATAATTTTTTAATCATTAAGTTTAAAATTAATAAAATTTATTTATTATATTTATTGCATATAAATAAAATGTTTTTCTAAAATATTTATCATAATTAGAAAATTATTATATTATTTAACTAATAATCAAATTAAAAATTATATTGTACAGAAAATATTAAGTTTACTTAAATTGTAAACTTATAATCTAATATCATAAATATTGTATATTATTTTAAAATTTTTATATATTTTTTTAAATATACAGTATGTCTGAAATAAAATGATATAAATTATTGGCGATTGACTTACGGATATCAAATATCAAACATTAAAATATCATATAAAAATTTGTAGTACTTCATAATTAATTTATTGTGTAAATTAAAGTTATTAATTTTAGAAAATATCATTAAATGACATTTTATTAAATATTTTATATTATTCTGCTAATAATTGTTAAAATAATAATAAATAATAATTATTGAGCTAATTATTTTTATTTATCACATTTTTTATATATGTACTATTATATAAATATGTTAATCATTTATAATCAACACTTTTTTTGGAAATCAAAATCATAACATTTAAGCAAAAATAAATTTTCATTAAAAATTTGTTATTGTTTTAAAGACATTTATATTAAACATATGATTCAATTCTGTATATATATATATATATTAATATTATAAATAATTTAATATTTATATTTTTAAATGTAAACTAAGCATAAATTTTTATCAAAATAAAATAACATAATTATATTATTTACAGTATTACATTAATTATATAAAATTATAATATCTGAAAATGTTTAGAAAATATACAGTATTGCTTATTAATAGTGTTGGCAAAAAAAGAGAAATTTCTAGAAAGTTTCTAAAAGAAATTTCTATATATGGGATTCATATGTTAATTATGTTATCTCAATATTTTATATCATATAAAAATACTTTAAATATTATTATTATTATTAGTAGTATTTATTGTTAATTACTAATTAAATTATATTAAACTATGATATATATATAATAAAATGATGAATAATATTTTACAAAACAGATTATTATTAAACAAATGTAATTATTTATATATAGGTATCCCATTTATATAGTACTGTATAATAATATAAATATTGTATTATATCTATGCAATGTGTATTAATAAATATTACAATAGCTATAGATATGGGGATCCCATAATATAACAATAAAGTTAAATTTCTATATTAATTTATTCATAAGAAGTTTTCTAGAAACTTTTTCAGGGAAATTTATTAGAAACTTTCTATTTGCCTATCTCTACTTATTAATGTAATAAAAATGTAATACACGCCTAATTTTTTATAATAATAATAATAATAAAATCACACCATTGGTTATTAATACAATAATGTAAAATGTATATATAAACATCTAAATTGTAGTTTGCATTTATATGTTTATAAAAAAAAAAAATTATAGTCATTAGATAGTTAGATTTATATTAAAAATTTTAAACATATAATACCATCAGATTGTTATTAAAATATCAAAATATTTTTTTACTAAATTTTTTATTAAGAAAAATTAATAAATTTATTAATTATTATTATTATTATTGAACTATGCTTGAACAAACAGTATTGTGGAATAGTAAAAACAAACAATATGCACTGGTATTATGGTCAAGTGCCTGGATAATAATGTTGGGCAGTTTATTGGCTATTATGCTAACAATAATTGAGGTAATTTTTTTTTTAATAATTAATTTTTTTGTAATATATATATATATATACTGTATATACTATTGCTAATAATAATAATATAAATAATTGAAATGTATATTATAAATATATATATTAACTTAGGGATGTCCGTTATTCATAAGTATTATGATTCCCGTACTCTTACTGACTGAGCTGATGGGTTTGGTTGGCGGTTGGAAACAACACTATCAACTGGCACTGACCTACGCAGGCATCAAATTTGCACTGACAGTGCTGACCCTGATTGCTGCCGTTCCTATCAGTTTGTTTTTTCCCGGTCTGGCAGCCGCTATATTACACCAATGTTTTATGAGTTCAATTATTGGCTTTATTTACAGCTGTGACCTGGCACCATTATCTAAAATCTAACCAACTAATATAATATATGTTTATGATTAAATTTTAATTATAATTAAAAGATTAATAATAATACAAAATTATTTTTTTCCAAATTAATGTATATTTAATTATACACAAAATTATAATAGCTTAATATGATTGTATTGTTTTTATCACTGTATTTGATATATAAATATATTATTGAATTTTTTTCTAAATAAATGAAACTTATTTTACTTTGATTATATATTAAATATAATTTAATAAATGATTTATTTTTTATATTGTTTGTTGATGTTGAATTTTACATAATAGAAAATTTATTCATGTAAATAACTAAATAAAAAAATAAAATATTTATATATCGAAATTGATAAGCAATTGATATTTATGTTATTGTTGTTTTAAACATAATCTTTTTAAATAACTATTTTTAAATAAATATTTTCAATAGATAATATAATATATTATATGAGTCATAGATTATAATAACAAAACATTTCCATATAAAAATATATACTGTATATTATACAGTGTATAATTATTAAATAATATTATACAGTATATATATATTAAATTACTAAATACGATACTACTAAATAATTTTATATTTACCATATATTTAGGGTGCATATTAAATATAAAAAAACAATAGTTTGCTAAAAAATTAATCTATTAATTAGCGGATGTTATTAAAAATATTATATTTATATTTATACTTAAAATAATGAATTAAATAAAATTCTACATAAATTTAGATATTTCATATATTGTATAATACAATTGTATTATTAATAAGTATTTAAATCACATATTAAATATTCTAAATGTTTTAAATAGTTCACACTTTATAACAAATAAAAACAATTGAAAATAGTTTTAGTCAAATATATAATTTAAATAATTATACTGTATTTTTTGAATAACTAATTGCGATTTAATTATTTGGTTTTTATTAATTTTATACAATTATTGCTGTTTTTGATAATTAAATTTTAAATTAATTATCTCAAAAAATATGCCAAAACAATCAGTATTGTGGAATAGTCAGTGCAAACAATTAGCACTGTTAGCATGGTCAATTACCTGGATAGTATTGTTTATCATATTTATGGAGATTAACATATCTATTGTTAGGGTAAGTTTTATTTAGATTTACATTTTTTTAAATATTATAAGAAAATTGTTTTCAAAACTTTATCAAAACAATTAAAATACACAATTATGAGATAAATTTTTTTATCTTTATTTATAATTATAATATTGATTAAGGGTTTCTCAGTTTGGATATTTGGCTTAATTGCTGACCTACTCATACTGATTGAAATGGTGGGTGTGTTTGCCGGCTGGAAACGACACTATTGTCTGGCACTTACCTACACCGGTATCAAAGCAGTAATGGCAATGCTATCACTTATTGCTACTATTTTTACCGCTAATATTCCCGGACCGGTAACGGCTTTATTTCAACAGTGTTTTGTTGGAGCTATTGTTGGCTATATTTACTGTTGTGAACTGTCGTCACCATTAACAGCACCGGTATCAAGTGTACACTACAGTAATGATGGTGTAATTGATAACTGTATGGCATAACAATTTATATGTAACAAAAAAATAACACATTTATAATTTTTGTTTAACTATATTAATAAAAACAATAACATTTGTTTAAAAATATTATATATTATTATATAATTGCCATTCTTTTGATTAATTATTTTAAATATATAGATATATAAAAATATAAAATTAAAAAAGATAAAATTAAATTAATAAAATTAAAAACAAAACTTTAATGTTTTTTTTAATATAAACTAGTTTATAAATTGAGTTTATTATACAGTATACAGTATATATTCATATATATATATATATATATATGAATATATTTAAACATTAATTTAAATAAAAATTATTTAACAATAATAAATGATTTGCACTGAAATTCATACACAGTATAGCAAACTCCCAGTTATTCATTGGAAATAAATCCAAACAATAGAACCCAATGTCGGGTCCACACAAACGTTCAATCATTGACTGGAGTTTCCATTTCTGGCGATACGTTAGTCGACTCCGGGAACGACATATATAGGACTCAAGTAGACGTCTGGGCCGGTGTGCCTCACGGGTAACCCTAACCGACATTAGATTACCCATTAATAATATGGTAAACAATATACTAAACACTAATATCAAAAATATTCTGCCCGATAATAATGTTAGTCTATCGTAGATTAGAAACAACATTATCTCAAAGCCAACTATCGGTATATAATAACCGGCAAACAGTGCATATTTAAACAGACCGTTCAATTGGGTTAACAAACCAGTTAGCTGTACATGGTCATCTAATTTCAATTTAATAATTGAATATGATTGAACATACAAACCAATGGCCAGGTGTCGATTGATTTGCTTATATTTATAATAGACATATGTTGATATTAGATACCATACAACAAATATGGATGCAATTATTGCATAAGATAGTATAGTAGAGGCCAGTGTGTTCAATATACCTATTAGTATACTAGCAACTAATTTTACCAATGATCCCAATGATCCCGATTCCCATAATGATGATAATGATTCCGATTCACTATACATTAGATAGGTTAGCATTATCAATGCCAGATTAGTCCATATAACTAATGTCCTAAACAGGTATCGTATAAATAATCGGGTCAACCATTTTGTTTGCCACAAAAATCTAAGTCTATTGTATCGATTTAATTGATGTGTTTGTTGTTGTTGTTGGCGAAAGTCATTCAATACGTTGATCACAATTTTTAATTGATTTCTATAGTATAGTATATGTATAGTTATATAACTAATTAGTGTAAACAATGCCCAATCGGCATACATTAAGGCCGCTAATTGTGAATCTAATATCAGATACAATGGATCGCATACCAGTTCATTCATCCATTGTTTGTCGACAATACCCGATAGGAGAAACCGTATGCAAAATACTAGTAATATTAAATCGACACAAATTATACTAAATAAGCGACGTTTAGGTATTTTATGATTGTTGTTATGATTATAATCATCAATATTAGATATAAGTATACAGTATTTATAGCAAAATTGATTCAGTTCATTTAATGTATTTTCCATTTATTAATTTAATTTTAATTCCAAAAATTAATGTTAAAATAAATAAGTTTTGATAAATGTTTATAATGATAATATTCACTTTTATAAAGTTGATAATTATATTAATATACAGTATATTTACTATATAAATGCATATTTAATAAGTGATGTCAATATACAGTCAATAATGTTAATATACTGTGTATATATGTTGTATAAAATAAATTTTCATTAATATTAATATAATTAATATAATTATTGAATATTATATATATAAATGCATATTTAATAAGATATGTAACTAGAATATTGATTTTGTAATTAAATTATTTTTTATAAAACTGAGGATAAATTTTTTTCCCATAATTTTCTATTTATAACTATTAATATTTTGAAAATAATATATGATATTAATTTTATTGATTATTATCAATTAAAAAACAACATTTATTTTGTATATTTTACGTATTTTGTATTTATCTAATTGTATCATTTATTTGTTTGTTTGATTAAATTAACATTTTTTGATTAAGTAAATTTTTAAAAATACAAGATTTTTAATTGAAATAAAGTTTTATTATTAATGCATAAAATAATATTTAATAACAAATTAATAATATTAAATATATATTATTTACTTAAAACTTGTTATTGTAAAAAATAATTACTAATTAACAAATTTTGCTATTAAATAAAAAATGTTTATTTTATTGATTATTTGTTTTTTTCAATAAGACTTTATTATGTCTATAATTATGTATATTAATTAAAAAATTAATAAAATTTTACAAATAATTTTTTTTTAAACTTTAACTTAAACTTTGATTTCGAAAACTTTTCAGATATTTCCAAAAATAAACTCTAAATTGACGGCTAAACCAAAAATAGATTAACGTATAGAAATCACTAGCAATTAGATAGAAATAATAGTTTTGCATTGATTTAGTATCGGCAAGCACTTTACATAGATCAAATTTCAATGAATTAGCTGGATTATTTTGGTTATTTAAAAAATATATAATACAATCATTATGGGCAAACCAGTTAGCCAGAAAAAATACTAAAATTTGTAAAACTATACGTATGGCAATGCTATCCATATGATTGATGCTGATTGTTGTTGTTGTTATGTTGTCGACCTTTTTCAAATAGTTGTATACTAATGTAGACAATAGACGTACAGTATAGAATAGTACTATCAAACCGGGTACCATAAATTGCAATACAAATCGTATGATAATTATATCTTTTTGATATATAAAAGCAGCGGCCAATTGGATAAAATATGTTGGATAAAAGTTTGCAATATTCATGCAAACTAGTCGACCGATTGTATAGTCTAGATAGATAATTTTGCTGGCCAGAATAAACGGTATGGCCAATAGTAGACTGGCCAACCAAATAGTAATAATCAGCAATCGGCTGGACAGCCGATTCAATGGGTTTAGATGATTGAATATTTTAGTCAACGATAAATAGTAATCAATGGCTAACAGTGCCGTCGACAGTGCTGTAACATACAGTGACCAGACGTCGCCGAAAGTGGCCAACGATTGAAATATAATTGACAGAGTAGTTAGATTGAAATGTTGGAGCACTGGTATATAAATTAGACAGGTATAGGTGCAACTAATTTTCAATAATAACTGTGATATTGATATATTCATCATTAATAGTTTCGGACGTATGTTTGAATGATTTGTTATATTATTATTATTATTATTTACATTATTTTGTTGTTTAAATGAATATAACATAACTCTAATTATTATAATATCCGATATTATAAACACTGTTGTGATTATATATACAATTATAATTATTAATAATTGCATTGATTTATTTCCATATATAACAATTACTGTATTATTATTATTATTAGGCATAATTTTTAATAGTACTTTTAAATAAAATAATCACCGTTATATAATTATTTATAAATAATTTTTAAAAAATACTTAAAAAGTAGTATATATTATAATAGTGTATATTGTATAATTAAAACAAATGTTTAGCTAATAATTATTTAAATGTTTTATTGTGTGTTGAAATTGAAATACTGTACCAAATATATAGAAAATATAATAATAATAATAATAATAATATGTAATAATTATTTTATTTATTACCTAAAAATGTAATTAAAATACATCCATTATTTGTGAATAATTTATTTTAACTTTTTTTATTTATTTTTTATACCAATATTTATTAAATTACAGTTAGGGTTAGATTGAGATTCCCAGGGAGGGAAGTTCCCAAATAAAATCCCTCCAATTTTCCCGGGAAATATGGAAAATATATTATATTCCCTCCCTTGATCGTTAGAAAGGGAATATATAATTTCTCATACATTAAAAAGTACCTAATCTCAATGACTATGTGTTTCAATTGGGACCATTATGTTAGTAATAACTCAATCAAAATATGATTCAAATATTATTAAACATTTAGTAAAAACATTAAATACATTTTGTAGACATTTACTATACAAACGTGTTTTTAATTAAACATAAATAAATTCATGTAATGTGAGTTATGGTACGATAGGTGGTACCACAAGGAAATGTCTTCCCAGGGAATTCCCAGGGACAGGGAATATAAGGAACTTATGGAAAATAAGACGAGGGAGGGAATCTGATCTAACCCTAATTACAGTATATGCTTATTTATTGATTAATTAAATTTTTTTACTTTATTATCTATATAATTTTTAATCATTTATATTACTTTTATTTTCATCAATTAAATTGCTAAATAAATCAAATTATTATTATTATTATTATCAAATAGTTTCATCTAAATTGTTACAATTGTTTTTTTTAATTGTACTATATTTGAAATGTATTTTAATTAAAATATATTATAGTTGTTAGATAATGAATTATTAATATAATTGTCATATACAGTGTATTGTATTATATTCAGGGTTTTAAGAAAATAAATGCCTGCCCTGGAAATGCCCAAATAGATGCCATAAATGCCTGGCATTTTGGGCATCTATTTTATTTGCCTGCCAATTTAAATTGCTAAAAAGCAACTGTATTTATAAAAATAATGTAATTTAGTGTTTTAGCGTGTTAATTAAATTTACAATTAATTTATTTATTTCCAATGATATTAGCTTTTAATTAAAGGTATACAAAACAAAAATACAAGCAAATATATTATAAAAACAATGTTTTATAAATTAATTAATAATATAAAATTAAAATAATAGGTGTCACCACCTGAAAATAGATGCCCAGGGCATGGCAGAGGCAGGGCAGGCATTTGGCATAATTGGCATCTATTGTTTATGCCTGCCATTTTTAAAACCCTGATTATATTTAATGATTTAACAAAATATTTATAAATATTATAAGTATTATATTGAAACAGTAAAATGTTTTAATATTTGTTATACCGATGTATTTTATTAATTGTCTTATATTATTCTAACTAAAATATAATAATAATAATATATATATACTGTATATATATATATTAAT